CAACAGCCTTTCCGGAGCGATCCGGAGGCTTTAACCTGGGTCACCTTTCAAATACCTTATGGGGAAAATGGAAACCAAGTTTAAGTATTTGGGGAAAAAAGACAAACGAACCACTTTCTCCCACTATCGTTTGTGGATTGTTTGAAGCAGATCATTCAAACGAGGCCACAGGAAAATAAGCCGTAGGGACAATAAACACTTAGTAAGGAAATAAACCTTCAGCAAATCCAGTAGAAGAAATTCATCACAGCCGTCGATAAAGAAACCAGTGGGAAAGAATCCACTTGGGTTTGTCCTTTTTATTGACTCACAAGCTCCATCCGGATCGCTGCTGCTCGGGGCCCGGGGCCCAGCACCTTCTGAGGACCCTCCACAGGGCCAGATGGAGGGGCTGAGCTCTCCGACGGACCTCCGCCCTGGGCCAGAAGTTCTCCCGGGCGGAGGAAGAGACAGGCGTGGCATTGCCAAGAAGATGCAGAGGAAGGCGGGTCACTGCAGAAGGAGGGCCTCGCAGACCAGGACCCAGGTGTGGCCGTGCCAGTGTGGGCAGGGCAGCTGGGTGAGGGGCTCGGTCCAGAGGACGGTGATTGGCTGCATCACGCTTGGGGAGACAAGGAAAGGGACAGGTCGGTCGGAGGCCTGTGCCCTGGTGGCCGGGGTGAGGGCTCAGGTGGGACTCAGACTGTGAGGCGCTGGCCTCTAGGACATGGAGGTCTAACCCAGGGATCACCGACAGAACGACCCATTGCTCCTTGGGGGCAGTTACAACTGATTGATAGGCTCTGAGTTTCCTGCTGGATTTTAGCAGCTCAGAGGTCATGACAGAGTTAACCCAAGTTACCTGGTGGCATTTAAAATAAAAGGTAAATGTACAAAAATGAAGCAAGTCTATCATTTAAAAGACATCTTAGTCTATTGTCCTTCCATAATGTCTTAAATTCACGGAAGAGACGTAAGAAATGAATGACCTCTGCAGTCTTCCAAGTGGGCAAGTATTTGAAATACAGACACGAACAAACCCTCTGGGTTTTCTCCCTGAGGTCTCCCTGATAACGCCACAGTTGGCCTTTCATCCCCAACAGCTTGCCGGCTGATAGCTGGATATAGACGAATGTGACCGTGGATGTCGATGGATCCTCTGTCTATAACTTTAAATATCTAATCTTCTTAGCTTCAAAATCACGGTTATACGAACTAAAATGGAAGTTCCCAAACATTTGGGTGAATGTCTAGAAATTTCCGTAGAGGCAGATGGCTGCCTGTGTATCTCCGAGCACTGAGATTATGGGGGTTTTCCACCTCCTCCGGCACCGAGGCTGGGATGGTATGACGCCCTCCGTCCTCTGGCTAACATCGTTTCTGGTGTAATTCTGTGTCGTTGTGAGCTCTTTGAGTACGGTGATGGTAACGATGATGGTGGTGATTAAGTCGTGCTGACAGCCAACAGATGGGCTGCAGTCGGAATGACTGAGCAGAGCTTCACAGAGGGGCGATTAGGATCGCAGGAGCAGAGTTACAGGTTAGCACACACGGCCAAGTGCCCGGGACAAAGCTTCGTGGGGGCCGCCTCCCGTGGGCCTGAAGGAGCAGGACGGGAGCCTGGTCGGAAGCTGTGGGTACAGGAGGGGCCGCCCCGCCCGAGCTAGGCTGTACCCACCCAGGCTGAGCCCCAGGAAGGAAGCTCGACCATCATGGTGTGCACGGGCTCCGGGGCCACCGGGCAGGGGAGAGGGTGTCGGGGGATAGTCCAGCCCTGGAGCCTGCAGACCGCTCACTGTCATGGTTGAAGACCACACTTGTGACCCCGGCATGGCGGACCATCCAACCCCATCTTCATGAGGTGAGGCTAATTAATTCAGTCACATGTCTGAAACCCAGGGACTACCACTGTCACTGACCACATGCGGTAATAGGAGCAAGGAAGGGAGAAGAAAATCCATGTAAAAACATGGCACTGCAGACCCCAGCCTTCTCCCCACAGGCCCTTGGGCTTTGGTTAGCCTCAGCTGTGTGCTGAGTGGTACTCCAGGTGCCTGGGGAACACCCTGGGTTCCTGACACTACCTCCCATCCCCATGAGACACCAGAAGCATAAATTCCCCTTCAAGAATTGAGATAACACCCCGGCAAGCACAGCCACCACCTTCTCTCCCCCTTGTTTCAGTGCCATGAGGAGTCGAAATGGCCAGGATCCCAGCATCTATGAACCCGACCAAGATGGTGAGTTCTGCCCTGGGACAACAGGATCTCCAAATTCACCAAGCCTGGGGTTGTAGGGATGAGGTTCATTGAGTATAATGAGAGGGGCCACTCCCACCTCCCGTTTTTGGGGACCAGAGTCAAGCACTGTGATTCCAGGGAGACAGCTGGTTTGAGGCCAACAGGTGACCCCCCTACAGGACACCACCCAACCTCACAGAGCCTGGTCCCGCGGATGGCACTGTGCCTTCAGCAGGCCGTTCCAGCACTTTGCCAGTCAGCTGCTTCTGGGCCATAGGGTTCATGGGAGTGCAGCAGATTTGGCGGGCATGACCTACTGTGGCAATGACTATCCTTAAAATGAAGGTCTTGGTCAAGAAGACAGTATGTGGGAAGTTGTGTGGCACATAAGCCATTCTGTAACAGCCTGGACTGTGATGATGGGGAGGGAAGGAGAATCTGCCTCTGAGAGGCTCATTTTTGTCAGGATGAATTGTTCCCCATTAACAGTGCGAGGATTTCATGGGATGAAAAGGGGTCTGTGTCAGACACTGAGCAAGAACCAGGTGGCGAGGGAGATGCCACCTGACATTCCCAGGACTGCCCATCTGGTGACCTGGTTATCAGAGCTTCGTATGAAGTGCCTGGGCCACGTAGACTCCCAGCTCTGTGCCTACCCATGTCCCCCAATCTCTTTACCACCCATATCCCAATCCTATGCCTTGCAAACCCCCACTCAGTGGGCCACCCCAGCCCAGCCCACAAATCAGTGTAGATCCGTACCCCAGGCCCCGCCACCTCTCCCAGGAAAGTTTACAGAACTGTCCTTCAGTATAGCCCACGCTCCCCCACAGAGACAGGGAAAGCAAAGTTGATTGAGTGATAGTACAAAGCCTGACATCTCTCGGGGTGCTGAGGCCCGGGCAGCCAGCAACACCCCCTCGTGGCCTGACATCTCTCGGGGTGCTGAGGTCCGGGCAGCCAGCAACACCCCCTCGTGGCCTGACATCTCTCGGGGTGCTGAGGCCCGGGCAGCCAGCAACACCCCCTCGTGGCCTGACATCTCTCGGGGTGCTGAGGCCCAGGCAGCCAGCAACACCCCCTCGTGGCCTGACATCTCTCGGGGTGCTGAGGCCCGGGCAGCTAGTGGCACCCCCGGCCTGTCATCTCTCGGGTGCTGCTGGGCAGAGGGCATCCAGTGTGACACCACCACATGAGAGACTTCCCCAGCACACTTGGGGGGGGTGGTCCCAGCTTTCCCAGAGCCATGGCTGCACCTAGTCCAGCGAGCACCCCATCTCTGCACGGCCCTGGGGCTAAGAGCTGTTGCTCGCAGGTTCTCTGCAGTATCTATAGTCACTAACCTCATTACTCCAATGCCCCATTATAACTAGTAATTCTCTCCATTAAATTTCTCTGTTCTGGGCAACCCTCTCTGGTCCCCTCCCTCTTTGGGAGCTTTGTACTATCACTCAGTAAACTTTGCTTCACTGTCACTCAACAAACCTTGCTTTGCTGCCCACCAAAAAAAAAAAAAAAAAAAAATTCTCTGTTCAATTTACAAGGCGGTCTCTTACTTCCAGACTGGAGCCTCATGGAGGGTCTGCATCCTGGTGTCGGCCTCCTGTTCACACCCTGGATGTCCAACCCCACAGGGTCCCGGCTGGACCTGAGCGAGGCCCCAGCACCCAGAACCAACACAGAAGCTAAGCTAACAACCCTGGTGCCAAGCCCAGGGCGTGCCCCAAAGAGAGAACCCCACCTTGCCCAATTACGTCCTAATACGTGTGGTGGAACTGTCCGAGGACCAGGCAGGCGGGTGAGAACTGGTGTCACCGTGCACAGGGACAACCACAGTCCCTTCGAAGAGATGCTCAGTAAACCACACAATAAACACGCAACAATTTAGAGAATACGAGGAATTAGCTGGGGTGTTACCAACATTGCGCCACCCAGACCTGGAAGGTTGAAAAGCAAGATTTTTGTTTGTACATACTCAGCCTTTATGTGTACTCACAAACATTTTTATGAATCTTTCAAAACAGAGTGTCTTAGCTGACAATTATGCTGCTGAAGATTGTGTCAGAAGTCTTCCCACAAAACCACACTGGTTTAAAATATTTATTAATTAAAAAAAATTTAAAATTCTTTTTATACAAAGATGATGAGAAAAATCTCATGCAAACTCTGGGCATACAATAAAAATAACTCAAATATTAATATGATGATTTTGTACAAAATAATTCCATTTTAAGTCGGACCTCCGACAGTGTAGCCGCCCTCTCCGGGCCCGGTGCCCCTCGGGGATGAGGCAATCCCCCTCAGACTCCTGCAGGGGGTCCAGGGTCCACGTGTGGAAATGCTCACAGTTGTCACTATGATTGATGATGAATATCCTATTGCTACTACTCAGAACACGGGACCGAGACCTAACACATTCGCGTAAGGAGCTCAGAATCGAAGGAACGCACAAAAGTTTTCAGAAAAGTTTCAGGTAATTGGCTCAACTCATGGAAATGCTGGGAGATGGTTATAGATGTTTCTGCTTAGTTACAAACCTGCAGTGGATTTATAATTTGTATATATTACAAGTAATTTGCATAATTAAAACAATTAAGGGAGCGACCTATCATGGCAATTAGAAATGCATCAAACTCGGAACGTCGTACAAAAGAGAGCTTCAATATGAAACAGTAATCCTCTGAGAACTGCGCGCAGTCCCTGCCCGGCGGCCGCGCGGACACCCACACCCCCTCGCCACGCCCCCTCCACTCTGCACCTCTTATTGCACTCCTTACACACTCATCTCATTTTCCGTAGCCTGAGTCTGTTCTCCTTGTCCCGTTTCTTAAGAATAAGGATGAATTGGTTGAAAAAATGCTCCTGGTCCTTCTTTTTTTGAACAAGTCGAAACCTCTGATCCCGGCCGTACTTCTCCGCAAACTCCTTAAATGTGGTCCTGAAAAACAAGAGCTTTCCTGAGACTCCCCTGCCCTGGGGGTGGGTTTGACGCTCCCTGAACACCACAGGCTGGCATCCCCTGAGGGGGCAGACAGCTCCTTCCACCAGACCTGGCTGTCATTCTGCCACAGGGAGAGGACATGGGGCAGGTGGGGACAGGGTCAGAACGTGCGGCAGGCCGGGGACAGGGGCGGGTCGTGGGGCAGGTAACGGACTGAAGGCCGTAGCTGTGGGCCTCTCACACCTGCCCCGCCTGCTCCTGTATGGGCTTCACCTCCCAGGAAGGAGCAGCAGGATCCTGACCCCACTGAACTCCCGTATGGCTGCACCTCACCCTCTGGAAGTGAGCCGACTCTCCTGCCTCTGTGGCCTCCGTCACCCGGAGCTGGCCACCGCCCACCTGCGCCCACCACTGCCCTGGCCACACGGGTCCCCTGCTGCCCCTGGCTCTCATGCCCTCCCTTGCTTCTGCACGCACCACCACTGGAAGTCGGCATGTCTTGTTCGGGGAACCTTGCCCTACAGACAGGGTCCTTCACGGTCCTTGTCGTGGTCACCACCACGGTAAGCCCCAACTGTGCCATTTACTCTGCCAGCCCCCTCCATTGGCAGCATTGCTATCCACTTCGTTCCCCGCTGAAGGTCCCAAATGTCTGGCCCAGTGGCCGGCATGTAGACGTCCCCCAATATCAACCGAACGGATCCAGGGCTGTGGGGCCAGGGAGTCCGACACAAGGTCGGGCAGCTCTCAGGGCAAGCAGGGGACGTCCCTTGCTGGGAAAAAGCATGCCTTGGTGAGCACTGGGTCCCCGGCTCCCCCTCCTCCCTGGCCTGAGCTTGCAGCAGGAACAGGCCCCGGAGGGCTAAGTAGCAGGCAGCACCCGGGCTGCCCGTGCTCGGCCCAGGGGACCCTCCGATTCCCCCATTTCTCTTTGCAGAGACCTTTATATTCCGTGCGGACATTAAATTGTTATATTGAATGATTATAATGTACTAGCTTTTTTATACCCGAACAACAAGATTGCATGGACAGGGCTGTGAGGACCCAGATTCACCCCCTGTGGTCGCCAACCTCCCTCGTCCTCTGTAAGTGTCACTGTCCCCCTGGTCACACGCTGGGGTCCTCCCTGCTCACGGGCTTCTCAGAAAGAAATCACTTCTCTCCTGTGCTCTCCTCCCTTCTTCCCTCTTTCCCCCTTGCTGTGGATGGAAGGCACTTGTCCCCCAGAATCATAAGTTGACCTCTCCTAACCCCCAGGTGCTAACCCTGGGGATGAGGGTGGCGCCCCCATGATGGGGATGACTGCCCTTGCAAAAGAGACCCCGGATCGCCCCCTACTCCTTCCCCATGGGGGGACACAGAGGGAAGACAGCCGTCCAGGGGCCAGGATGGGCTTCACCAGACCTCACACCACTGGAGCCCTGTTTTCAACTTCCAGCCTTCAGAACTATGAGAAAGAATTCTGTGTTGCTTAAGGCCCCTGGTTTGTATTTGTAATTTGTTAAGCAGCCCAAATGAACTAAGACCCCTTTTCCTTTCTTCCTTCCAAGATGAGAATTACAGGGGCTTGTTACTTTCTTCACTTGTGTGGGTAGCAGCCTAAGCATTTTACAGTTAGGGGTGGGCAGAGATCCTGTCTGCAAGGTCCTACTCTGGGCACTTCCAGAAAGAAGCGTCCCTGGAAAGAAAGGGAGAGTTACAAATCCATGGCCCCACAGCCATGCCCAAGGGGACAGCCTGGTTTCTGCTGGCCCTTGTGAACTGTCCAGTGAGCCTGGGGAGCCCCCTGAGTCATGGGCACAGCATCCCCATCTTCCCTCTGGCAGCTGGAGACACAGCCCACCTGTATGTGAGGGAGGAGGCCTTCAAGAAGGAGCACAGAGTACAGATCCCATACCCTGGCCAGCAGCCCAAGGAGAGGTCGCTTGTGGCTCCTGGCCCCATCCCACGACCCCGAGAGCTGGGCAGGGCTGGGGGCTGGCTCTGGGGCTGGCTCTGTGGCTGTGAGGACAGGGTCAGAGCTGCTGAGCTCCTAGAGGCTATCTCTAGGGACGCTCAGATGGCCTGTGCCTAGCTCACCTGGCCATCCAGTGTGCAGTGACTTGAACTGCATGATTATACTAGGACGCCTAGGGAACAGTAGGAAGGAAAGGTCAAGAAGTCGGAAAAAGTCTTGAAAATGTTGCAGAATCAGCTATTTTGACATAAAAATAGCTTAATAATCATAAAAGGACATATGCACTGTAGTCACTCATTTTCCCTGTGTGTGTGTATGTGTGTGTGTGTGTGTTGGTGTCTGTATGTATGTGTGTGATCTTTCTCCTAAATGCTCAATGCATTCTGAATATTTTCTCCTTTGTCTTCATAATGGGAGGGGAAATGAGTTGGCTTATTGTTAATATTTCACCAACGGACAGACCAAGAATATTACCTAAATATTGTTGATGATGATGTTGGTGATGGTGATGATGATGGTGGTGGTGATGATGCTGATGGTGGTGATGATGATGATGATGGTAGTGATGATGATGATGGTGGTGATGGTGATGATGATGGTGAAGGTGATGGTGGTGATGATGATGGTGATCATGGTGATCATGGTGGTGATAATGATGATGGTGATGGTGGTATTGGTGATGGTGATGATGGGCATCCCCTTCACCAAGCTCCTTCCAGCTACCAGGCACTATGTTGGCTTCCCTGCCTGCCCCCCTGCCCCAAGGAGCCTGCTGCAGCTGTTGTGCTGCAGATGAGGTCAGAAACTTAGACAGGTGCAATGCCTCACCCCATTGCAGGGCTTAGGAGGGGCTGAGCAGGCTGTGCACTGAGGCAGGGGCTCCAGACCAACTCCTCTCTCCTAGGGTCACCATGTGGGGGACACAGAAAAGCCAGTGTTCTCACCTCTAATAGTAGAAAATCACAATTTACAAATGTTTAGATGCACATTTGCTTTTCTAGATTAGCATTTTGTGATGGGGATAATTCATGCTACATTTTCTCCCATTCAGAAAATATCTGCCTTTTAAATACTTGCAGTTTTATAAGGACCATGTACCCAACATCCAATTACTTACTGACCAGGAGAACTAAACAATTATCAATCTAAATATGGGAGCCTGGGGTCTGCATTGAAAGCAACATCAATTAACATCTACTTAAAAAATAATGTTGCATTTATGCATTAGTATTAAAATACTAATGCATAAATGTCCATTTAGACATGATATCCCAACCCTCATACAAAAATAAACCAAAATCATTTTTGCTTATAAAAGTTATAGCTCTATAACTCTAAAAGTAGTACATGTTCATTACTTTTTAAATATCAGTCTATGAAAGCTAATTTTTAAGAACAGTTAAGTCCATGTGTTTTTCTAATTTCTGACGTCTAAGTTTCCCATCGGCTTGCTTTATATTGTGGGAGTAATGCCGGGTTATTTTAGGTGCATTTTGGCAGCAGGTTTACTTGGCCCATTTGCCTTGATGTGTGCATCTTCTGTCTACACCCCAGCCAACTGGGAAGGCGTCTGGAACCAATGGGGCTGGTGGGGTTTATGTTACGGCTGCTATCTGCTGTGTTCTGCATTTTAGTGTCTGATCCCTAGTTCTGAAGTTATACCTCCTCTCTGAGTGCTGACCTACTGATTAGTTATTAAGACCATGGAGTCGGGGCTGCCAGGCTGGTAAACCAGGTGGCGGGGCAGCAGAACAGAGGGACCGTGGTGCAGGTGGGGGGCGAAGGACGTGGGGCGCTGCAGCCGCGGGCGGGGCTGGAGGCTCACTCACCCACAGCATGGGGGGAGGTGGGCTTCCCTCCCCAGCGGGTCTCCGCTATTACACTTGTGGTGTCTAGGGCACGTGAGGGTATGCAGTTTAGCGGAAACAGACTGTAAAAGCCCTCCTACAGTCATGGGCAAATGTCCAGCCCTGGAGCTTGTGTCTGTCTCCATACCTGGGTGACACTTTAGATTCCTCCAAAAGTTTTTTGAATTCTTCTTTGGCTAGCAGCAGTTTGCTTTTCTTTTCCTTGTACTCTTCTTTTATCCTTGTCTTGACAAACTGTTCAAATATCTTAAAACACACACATAAGAGACATATTACAAGGTTGCACATCAGAAATGAAATCTTGGGTTTCAAACATGACACAAAAGAACAGCGAGAGAATCTGTGGTTAAGCCTTTCTATCCCGTAGTGGCTGGGGTTGAAGCCACAGCCTTTCAGTGAGGCACTCTCAACATCATGAGACAAGTGTCTACAAAAGTAAGCCTGGGTCCTCATGAGGCGCCGTCTCGGGGCCACACACTGACTCAGCCCTGCCCATGGAGGCGAGGGATGGGCAGCGGCAGCCCTCCCTGGAGGCTGTGGGAGCCACTGACGGTCCAGGCGCCTGGCTCTGCTGCCCCTGTGGTTCTGGTTTGGGAACACCGTGAGTAGCTCATACACTGGCCGACCATCACACCGCCACTGGTAATCCCAGTAACACGTGAGATTGTGTAATTTCTTCTAGTCAGTTCTTACAGGAACATAATTGGCATTTGGGTCTCCAAATGTGATTTTACCTTTGTGAAAAGAAAGTTGACCTGGCATCTCTGGCTCCCCACCCTCTAGTCCCCAAGAAGACCACCTGTGAATGTGGGGGTCTGGTCATCAGGGGGCTCGTGTGGACACAGCAAGCCTGTCCTGGGGGGTCGTGGAGCCTCCAGGTGAACACGTCTGACCCTCAGACACCGCACTAGCCCCAGCCTGACAAGAAGTGGGTTTTAAAGCTAATAGGAGAACCCCATTCCCTAGCCTAAAGGGCATGGGTATTGTCTCGCAGACAGGTGCATCCGTGACTCCAGGACTGAATCTCTTGCAAACTGGCAGCCAACGCAATCACATGACACCGGGGAACCTGTCTGCAGTGCTCTCCAGAAGGATCCTCCCTCGCCAGGACGGAGGCGGCTCACTGTTCTAATATCAGAATGTTGTCATTTATAAACCAGAGTCTAAAGGACGTGGAGACAGCTGTTTGATTAATATCGCTATCGGAGCCTCAAGAGCATTAAAAAGAAAATACTGGAGATAATTTAAATGTGCGTGCAGACATAAATAAAAAGATCAATAAAAATTGCACATGTGATTGTGGAAGGCCAATAAACAGCACTTCTGTACCATCCCAGCCAATGGCCGTGGGGGGCATTAGAGTCTGACCCGAGGGCTCTGGGGTCGGGGTCTCCTGCACGCCTGCCCTGGGGCAGGAGGCGAGATGTGCAACCACGGCCACTGCAGGAGGGCGCTCAGCGGCTTTCAGTAACCACAGGCTTATAGGGTTGCAAATACCAAATGCCACTGTCCTCCGGACGGCTCAGCCTCAACATGAAGCACCAGGAAGAGGACTTAAACTGGAAGGGCATATGTGCTAAAGTAAGAATAGGATCCGCACCTCCAAGGCAAGTGGAGTGCTAGCTCTCCAGTTGTCTTATAATTTAGACTCCAAAAGGGTGAAGGAAGTGTTACTATCCAAATAAAAGCATGTGGCTCATCATTAGCCAGAGTTTTGCTCTATTAACTTGAAATCGGGACAGAAGAAACCCTGCCTGCCCGAGGGGTCGGGGGCTGAGGGGAGAACTGCTTCTCGGATGCCTGAACCACTCACCCAGCAAACCGGATTTCTCTGCTCATCTTTGCTCTGTTGCTCTATTTACGCTGCTCTAATTTAATGTAGCAGGGTTTCTTCCCTCTGACAAATATGCGACTTTCGTTCAAAGTGGGGCATGACTTTTTAAAAGAGAACCATCCGCTATTACCTCCTTGTGGCGTGATCTACCATAATAAAAAGGAAACACTATCTGTTACCCTGGAAATGGGTCTGATGAGCGCTGCCCGACCCCGACTCTGCTTGGGCTCAGTCACCTCCTTTGCAGCCCCCGGTGGTAGGACCAGGTTTTCGGATGGCCCAAATATTACTTCCTTCAGCAGTGCAGCTCCCATGCGCACGGGAACCGCAACACTTCCCCTGGATCGCCGGTGGTTTGTTGCCCACAAACAGGCATTCAATCGGAGGGCTCCTGGCGCTGTATGGCTCCCAGGGAGGCCGCTCCCCGCTCTTCCTCATTGGGCCTCAGGGCAAGCTGCAGGCTGATGACACAGGCCTGCAGTGTCCTCGGGGTGGCTTCCCGGGGTGTTTGAGGGAGTGGATGTGGCCGGAAGTACAGCTCGGCAGCGCCACCTGTCCGGGTCAGGAGGAACCCGCTCAACACAACAGCCCCCTGAGCCCGCTGTATGCCGTGCACTCAGGGACGGGACATAAGCGTGAGATCATAAACGGGCCTGTTCTTTGAGGGTCGGGGAGCCTCACTTCCTCCTCTTCCTTCAAAGGGCTAATGGTCTCTCAAAACCCCTAGTGAACTGGAGAGGACAGCGCTGACCGTGACCAGAGGCGAAAGCAGTCTACAGATGTGCTGACGGTCAGCAGATGTTAGCCAGCACATGGATCTGTACCTCGGTGGGAAAACAAGCAAGCTTCTCCTTGTTGTCATAGTCGAGGAGTCAGACTTTCTGGTCTTTAATATTGCAACAAAAGGGTGAAATATGACCTACAATTAAAGCCTGCAGTTTTCTTTGGAGTCTATGTATATAATCTAACCTCGTCTGACTCTGTAACTTTTATTTGCCTTATTTTTTTGGAGCCACCGCTAACACATTTCACACATTTTCAAATGTTTCTTTCTGGAAAATACAGCTCAGCTGGAATGCAGCAAAAGGATCATTAATTCTAAGTTCATGAAAGATCCAAGTTCTGCATTCTACTGTGGCCAATCTAGGACCATCCCAACCACGTGCCTGCGCCAAGGGGAAGGGGGCTCCGCCATTGCCGGGACCGTCAGGGTCTGCAGGCCCGAGGCTCTGCCTGGATGGTCCGTCCCGGCGGGTGCTTGAAGGAACTTCACGCCACAACAGAATGCGACATTAAATAGCCCTTTCTGGCCCTGGCCCAGGCCTTCCCAGACTCTGCAGTGTGACCATGCAGGCCGTGGTGACCGAGCCCACCGCTGAGATGACTCTCGGGCCTTCTCTGTTTTCAGCGGCCATTCTTGATGACCCACTCTCCATGTGCATCACTTCGCACTCCCAGGGCAGAGGGAGGGGGAGGTGGGACTGGCACAGGAACCAGAAAGAAGGAAATCCGGGTCTTCTGCGACTGATATCAGGGCCCTTCTGTCCGGGCTCCAGGGACCACCCAGATCCCGGAGGGCTGTGCAAACATGCACCTCATGGCCTCAGCTCCTCCCCTGGCAGTCAGCACCGCCCGTCCCTCTGTCTGTCTGCCTCATCTGGGAAGCAATACTGGCTCCGTGACCTGCTTGTCAACAAGCCTGGCCAGAGCCATCAGGTGAAGCTGCCCTCTGACCCATTCCTGCGCTTTCTGGGGACCCGCTTTCTAGAACTTCCATCTCATACATGTGCTCCTACTGTTCCCTGGGCCCTCTTCTCCTTCACTGTTATCATATAAGACCTTAAGTCTTCTGAACACACTCATCTGGGGTGTGGCCAGTGCCTTCTCATGTCTGAACGGGAGGAACTGTCCTATGGGGTCACCACCAGATGGTTCGCTAGGAACAGTTAGGGACAGCTTCCTCTGTCCCAGTCACTGCTCCTGTGCAAGCTCACAAGCAAGCGCGCACTCCGTCTGCAGCCTTCCCCCTGACAACAGGAACGCAACAGTCACCCGCGCATCAGCAAGCACCTGCGGAGGTGCGCCATGCTGGTGCTGCGTGTGCAGAGCCCGCCCCCATGCCTCACCCCCGCGTTACCTGTTTCCGCTCCTCAGAGTTTAGCAGGAGGTAGCGTGGATCAAACACGATTTTATGTAATTCTTTCTCCCAGGTAGAAAATGCTGACACCTGAAGAAAGATATTCAATAGAGTTGATTTTAGCATCTAAGGCTGAGCCTGAACTCGTGCTGAAATGATCAATGGTGGAAAACAGCGTTAAGGTACCGTGGGCTCAGGGACGCGGCTTGTATGGAAGCCTTATGCACGTCCAACTCTCTAGGAAATCGATACTTAGAGCATTAGAAAATTTAATTTCTACACTCATGACACTATTTCTTCCTTGGATTTCTTCCAGGGCCATGTGCCTCTGATCTGAAGCCCCGGTTATGTCCGGGGAGCTGGGGCATTCTGGAATGTCACATCTTGAAGGCAGAAGTGTTTGTGAGAATTTTCAGAACACCAAGGGCCATGACAGGGGGCAACTTCTTGCCAATAGTCTGATTTTAGCATAATTTTAGTGGATTTTTAAATCAATATTTAAACCTTTTAGGTAGGTCATTTTTTTAAACACACTATTTTACTTTACAATAGTTTTAGATTTACAGAAAAGTTACAAGAATATTACAAGGTGACATGTCCTACCCAGTTTCCCATACTCTTAACACCTTACATTGGTTATGGACGCTAGATTCGTCTACACTATTGTTAACCAAGGTCCACACTTCAGACTTCTTTAGTTTTAACCTAGGTTTGTTTTTCTTGCTAGGGTCCCACCCAGGACACCACATGACAGCATCGCATGTCCTGAGGCCCCTCTGGGTTGTGACCGTTTCTAGACTTTCCCTGCTGTTTTGACCTTAATGGTTTTGAGGAGTGCTTGGCCAGGTATGTTGTAAGATGCCCCTCTACTGGATTGATCTCAGCTTTGCTCATGATTAGATGGGAGTTCTGGGTTCTAGGGGAAGACGCCCCTCTACTGGATTGATCTCAGCTTTGCTCATGATTAGTCAGGGGTTCTCGGTTCTAGGGGAAGACATCCCTCTACTAGACTGATCTCAGCTTTGCTCATGATTAGATGGGGGTTCTGAGTTCTAGGGGAAGACACCCCTCTACTAGACTGATCTCAGCTTTGCTCATGATTAGACGGGGGTTCTGGGATCTGGGGGAAGATGCCCCTCTACTAGACTGACCTCAGCTTTGCTCATGATTAGTCGGGGGTTCTCGGTTCTGGGGGAGGAGCCCAGAGCCAGGTGCCACTGTCACCACAACCCCTCAAGGTACTTACTGTCACCGTGACTTCTGGCAGGTCGGAGTTGGCCCCGGCCTCCTGGCTGAGGTTGCACTCCTCGGATCTGTCCTCCACAAATTCACTCTCTGTCCCCGTTCCGTGCTGTGCTACTCGGGGGGAGTCACTTTGTGCAGCCCATGCTCAGGGCTACGCTCCACCTCTTGGGGGAGGGCGTATCCAAATACAGGTTATTTGGAATTTTGAATGGGATGTTCACCCATTCTCTCACATTTACTTCTTTATTCCATCACTTACATGTACCACTACACACTCATGGCTATTTATTTCATAATCTGGGTGATAATCCAATATGACTTTATGCTTTTGCTCAAATGGTTCCAGTTTTGGCCATGGGGAGCTTTGCTGCCTGGCTCCTGTGTTCCTTTGGCTACCCCATCATTTTGGGGTGGGGCACTTCCCTATTTCCTGGAACTTCAGGGTACTCCAGCCTCGTCTCGTGTGTCTCCTGCCTCAGCCCTAGAATCAGACAATTCTCCGGGAATCCCGGTTCCTCTTGTTGCAGGACGAATCAGACACCGTGATCTGGTGCTGAGTGTGCCTGTTGCTGTGGGATGTGCAGCTTCTAGCTTCTCCCCGCTGACAGAACAAGGAAATGTTTAAGTCATTTACAGAATAATGTATTCACTTAAAAACATTGACTAAATATTGACTCTGCATTAGGCTCTGCGCTGTGTCTGAGGACTCAGAGGAAGTCAGGCTCCCAGACACCAGAAAGCCCATGGTGTGGGCTCAGGCGGATAAATAAGCTAATAGTCTCCTGGGAGGCAACTGGGCCACAGCAGAGACGTGCCCGGGCGCTGAGGGTCCCTCCACCAGCCTGGGGATGAGTCTCCAGAGCAGCGACTATTCTGGAACGTGGACACTCATCGAGCTCCTGAAGGGATGGGAGCACATCTGGAAGGGGCTGTCTGGGGTGAAAAGGCCACATTCCTGAGCTGGGGGAATGTGGTAGCTGCAGTGGGGGAGCAGGGTTGGGGGTGGAGGAGCCCAGGAGGAGCTGGGAAGCGGTGGGAGAGTCCCAGGCAGACTGAGGAAGCTGTGCCTTATCTCGAGAGCCATAGTCCCACATCACGTGCGTGTTAGGAAGGGCTACTCTGGGGCCTGGGTGGGGAATGAGCCCCTGGGCAAGAGGAGAGGGGACGCTAACAGGCAGCTTACAGCCCATTCACCCTCTTAGTTTGCACACGTTAAAGTATTCCTCGGAGAGATACTATTTTAAGGTGCTTTACTTGGTACAGCATAATGTACAGGGTTTTTTTGTTTTGTTTTGTTTTTAACTGACACTTTCTATCTCCCCTAATAAAAATAAAACCCCTTTTTAATATTCATGAGCTCTGTTCTTGGGCAGGATGACCCAGGCTCCACGCAGAGACGTTCTTCCAAGGACTGAGAACATGATAAAATGTGGGCACTGGGGCAGGGATTCCCTGGGGAAGCGTCCAGGCTGACTGACCCCAGGGTTCAACTTCAACTCAGCCCACACGAATAGGCTCCTGTCCACCTGGTATCTGCAGTGGACACCCCCATCTCAGCTTGCTAGGGAAGGCACAGTGTGGGTTAGAATTGGTGTGTTGAGGGTTTTTGGAGTTCTAGATGTATAATACAATCTTTCTTTAAAAATTAATAATATATAGTTGGCTCCAAAGGAATTTTCAATCTGTGTGTGAGGCAAGAGAGCCATCTCTGCAATGACTGTAATTTACAATGACAGAGCAGGTGCTGTCACATCACCTGAGAGCCACGCTGACAGGTGCTGTTCAAGTTCAGAGAACAGTGGCCGTGGTGGACAGAGGCACAGCCAGGCATGGGACCCGGGGCCGGGGGTCAGAGCAGAAGGGGAGGATGGAACAGGGCCCTTCACTGCTTGCAGGGGGCACAGCCCTGTCTGTGAGACCCAGCTGTGGCCAGAGGACCCCCGAGAACTGCAGTTAGGATGGACCATGAAAATCGCTTCTGATAAAAGCCTGATCTTGTGGGCCTGGGCCTCCCATGTGCCCAAGGTCATGCCTTGGTTGGGAAGCTCACTCCACGGGACAGGGATGGAGGCCTCCCCTCTCTTGCTGAGCCAGCAGGAGCCCTTCTCAGCCCCAAGGCCGCCAGTGTTCCCTGCCACAGCCCTTCCACGCCAGTGTGGCTCGCTTCTCCACAGCCGGCGGGAGAATCTGCGTGTAAGACTTGTAACGTCCTGTAATGTCCTCATGGAGAGACCCACCATCCTATTCACCGGCCTGCCCACTCCCAAGGGAGGGGGTTATTCCGGGGGGCACCCTGGGGGTGGGGACCTTGGGGCTGCCTTAGGATCCCACCGCCTTGCCAGGTCCCAGGACTGGCATGCGGCCACTTGTCTCCTAGTCTAGCCTGCACTTCTTGGACTCTGGCATTCCCACACAGTTGGCTCCTTGAGCAGTGGAATTCCCCAGCCGCTGGGTCCTGTGCCCATTCTGTGTCCCTTGCAGGCCTGGGCTCTGTGAGCCTGCTATCAGTTCCTGTCACCTGTAATCCCGGACTTGTGTGAGCACCTGGGCGAGCCAGCCGCCGGGAGATAGGGCTCCTCCGGGAGGGCTGGAGCTCTGCTGCCCCGGAGCGCTCCCCCGGGCGCTATCCTAGGCTGTGCCATCTGCCTCTCCTCAGCACTCCTGCACAATCTTTATTTCGGCCACCCCGTGGTGTCCCCGCCCCGCCTGGGGCAGCATCGCAGGCACGGACTCGACAGGTCACCACGGCACCATGACCCTGCCTTCCTCCCCGCGCGGCCTCACACCCCTCCGGCGCACGCGCTCCCCTCACCATCTCTAGGGCCTGAGCTGCTGTTTCCTGCCGTCTACACAGCGGAGGCCGCGGGGCCGGTGGTTTAAGACACACGCAGCCAGGGCGCCCGTCCCGAACCCCAGCAGATGCCGCCATAACCTGAAACTGTGGGCCGGCGTGGACCTCTGGGCGGTGGGCGGAGGGGCACATGGCTGCTGGCTTAGTGGTGTCCCCATGTGGCACGTCTGGAGGATGACAGGCGGCGGGGGAACCCGCACCCTCTCGCAGCCGCGCGAGCCAGGCCCTCCTCTTCCAGTGCTTGTCAATGTGCTCTCCGGGAAAATAACCTGGTTTGGAAACACCAACGAGTCCTGCTGGAACCAGCTGTAAATGGCACCTCGCCACCGCAGCTCGTGGACATGGTCATCTCGTGCCTGCACAATCTCGATGGTCTCCTAACTGCTCCATTTCTTCAGCTCTCAGACTGGCCGGCCGTTCACCCAGGGCCCCCGTGGCTCCCAGCCACCCTCCCGGCTTCAGTGTGGGGGCTCCCTGGCCGGCTGAGCTCTGAGCTTCCCTGAGCACCCACCCCAGCTGGCAGGGTCCTCCGGGGGTGCCCCGTGCTCAGCGGCTGCCTCCTCTACTTGCTGGGCACAGGCGAGGCTGACCCTCCGTCAAAGCCCAGTGAAGGTGACTGTCTTGTGCACAAAGAAGAAAAATCTCCAGATGAGACTGGTTCTGACCTCAGCCCCAGCTGCATGAAAGCCTCTCTGAAAGCTGAGGAAAAGGATCTTGCATTGGGTTCTACCTGGGACCTGAGATGACACGTGGGCTCGGGGAGGTCGTCATGACCAGAAAGGCCCCCATGGACGGGGTGCCCCGAAGGAAAGAGGCGGATGCTGCTTTTATCCTCAAAGCCAAAGGCCACTCTGAGCATCTGTCAATCACTGGATCACAGAACAACCAGGGACTGAAGGGCCAGGGGAAGGGAGGAAGGCTGCCGAGGATGGGTCCTGCCTGCCCCGAGTGCCGGCGGGCCGGACAGCATGTGCTGGGACACACTCGGGTAGCA